GCTGCATCTGGACTGAAAAGTGCCCCAAGTACAGCTATAAATAAAATACAACGGATCATAGTGGGGGCTTTCGAACTCAGGTCTGCATTTCAACAATTCATGGGTGAAAGAACTGAGCTACTGCCTTCCACCCGAACAGAACGCCGCCCGGGGTCGTTATCGCTGCACCTGGACTGAAAAGTGTCCCAAGTACAGCTTTAAATAAAATACAACGGATCATATTCGGGGGAAGACGGTAGGCGGACACCTGCGATCTACGCGTTGATGCACACCTGCAATTTTTATTTTTTTAAATTATTTTTAACTCATCTGATCTGGATTCGAACACGTGTCTTGATTTCTACAGTTTTTTTCATGTGGGTGTGGCAACGGAGCTACGTAGGCGCAAACCTGCAACCGATTCCTTGCATTAGCTGGAGTTGTATGTGGACCTGGTTGTGGTCCCGATAAATTCAAGAGCAGGAGTAGGAGGAGGACTACCTTCTTCACCCGAATACGACGTACGGTCATTATGGCTGTATTTAGACGGAAAGATAGCCCAAATACGGCTATAATGACGGTACGCTGTATTCGGGTGAAGACTGTAGGAGGAGAAAGGAGGAGGAGGAGGAGGAGGAGTAAATGGTCCTCGCTGCGTGGAAATGTACGTGGAACCGTGGTGGTCCCAGTACATTCAAAATATTAGACCGATCGTAATGTATCTGGTTCATGTCACCGTTCAGATACATGTAGAATGTCGTCCAGTGGAGCGAGGCCCATTAATGCCTCACGATCTCGATTCGTAATGATGTGGGCCAGACGGTCTGTCGAGGGCTCAAGGAATCCAGCCTGCTAGTTCGTTGAAAGTTCGACGAAAGTTCGACGGAAATTTCGAGGAAAGTTCGACGGAAGGTCGACGAAAGTCTGTATTTCGCAGCCTACCATTTTTTGATATTAATGTTATTATATTAATAATATATTATTAAATTGAGACTGATATGAACATTATTAATATTTTATTATTATTTGTCATCATTTATTGTTCCCAACGAGAGTCGTTCGCACTTGTTGGATGGATAAATAACAACTATTTCGTAAATTATTATTAATTTATTATCGTAAATTATTATTATAGTGAAGTATCTCGAAATCCATTGTAGATCCGGGGTTATTATTCGGGGTAATTATTGGAACATCTGCTTAACGCCGAGGGCTGAGCCGTCATGCTCTTATTTAGCGGTGAGGGTCGACGGGGAAGAAGCCATAGCCCAGCTGGCTGTGGGGATGGTGAAGTCGTAGCTTGTCTACGGATGCTGGAATTGTGTTTCACTGTTATATCTTGCGAAGAGTTTGTCTCGGCATTCTTTTCACGTATGATATTGCGCTATTCACACGTGCATGACGATGCATGCATGCATGATTCGTGCATGACGATGCATGACGATGCATGCATGCATGATTCGTGCGTGACGATGCATGCATGCATGATTCGTGCGTGACGATGCATGCATGCATGATTCGTGCATGACGATGCGTGCATGCATGCACGCATGTGTGTGTGGTTATGTGCTTTGCTTGCGAACCAGTCGGACGCTGCTGTGGCTTTGCTTCTTGTTCGTCTTCATAGAGAGCCCAGCTGTGGCTATAGCTCCCTGTGCTGCTGTGCTCCTTGTTTCGAGAGTGAATTTCGAGATTGCTTTCGCACATTGGATGATGACCTGTATTGGACCGGAAAGACAGCTTACCTACATTCACGATGAGGGGACTTTGAGCCAGTCCGTCTGTCTCCTTTCACATCTGTTTTTGTGTTAAAAAAAAAGTAATCCTGGATTTTTCTTTTCGATGAGTCGCAAGCACGCGATCAACACGACTTATTTTTCCCTTCAAAAGTGTACACATCCACCGAGAGAGGGCGAGAGCGAGCGAGCGAGCGAGAGGGAGACAGACACACACACACACACACACACACACACACACACACACACACACACAGAGAGAGAGAGAGAGAGAGAGAGAGAGAGAGGAGGGGGGGTAAAAGCATTGGACAATGATTCGAAGACTTTGTTGCACGAAAAAAACTCTGCGAGTAATGGACAGCTTTCTTGTAGAGAGCTTATGGCCGGCCACGTGGCAATCTGATTTGGTGTTCCCCCCACACCCCCCCCCCCCCCAAATCCCCCCCCCAAGTAATACCCACCTGAGTTCGAATCCTGGTGAAACTAGACGAATGAAAATGCTTTGATTCTGCTTGCCGGTAATCAGCAATCGGACTTTCGCGCCCCCAGAATAGAGGGGCCAATTGTGTTAAAACAAAACAAAAAAACAAAACAAAAAAAACCTTTTATGTATTTGGTCGGTCCCTTGGGTGTTGGGCTTATTAGTGTTTCGCAGTCTGAGAGGGGGCCGAAACGGGAAACGTGCAACCAGCTCATGGGACTGAATAGGGGGGATCCTTTTTGACTGGTGATAAGCAGACCTGTGAAACGGTTTTCACCTTTTTAGCAGTAACGGATGCAGTACCCAGGGTTCGATCCCTAGACCTCACCCTACCCATGTACAGTATCTATGTAGACCCCGAGAATTGAACCTGCGACCTGTGTATTCGCAGATAGTTGACTGTTGTCTGTTGTAGGTCTGTAGGTCTGTGTAGCCGTAGGGGTTCGATCTGTAGGTCTGTCTAGTAGGGGTCATAGTTGTGTAGAGGCCGTAGCTGTAGCAATTCTGAAAGGTCAAGGTCGTAGCTGCTACAGTCCTGAAAGGTCAAGGTCGTAGCTGCTACAGTCCCGAAAGGGCAAGTCCACAGACTTCCGGAAGGTCCGGAAGTGGCCTTTCGAATTTTTCTCACGTTCCTCACAGCAGACCAGAGGCAAGTGGGCAAGTGGTGAGTCCAACTTTGCTTAGTCAGCGGTACCCAGTCTCAGTCTCACTTTGTCCAGTCAGCAAGTACCATGTGGGACTGTGTGCACCGTGGGCCCGGTGGAAAAGGGGCAGACCAACGACTTACAGAAGTATAAATCAAGAGGCAGCGTCCAGCCATTCATTCATTCCTGCGGGAGCCATGCGGAAGCGCTGCCACGGCGACTTGTGCAAGGAGGTCTGCAGATGAGCCCGGAGGACGCAGTGGGCTAGAGAGAAGGAGTTAGCATAGCGATAGGGTAGATGCAGCGACAGCTGCTATAGCTGTAGTTAGTAGTGAGTGTGTGTGTGTGTTCGAGTGTTAGAGTGATGCGTGTGGGATATCCAGGGTGATCCAGTGTATATGAACAGTGAGATGTTTGGGCGCTGAAGTCGCCATAGCCAATTGAGAGTGAACTGATATCTGAAAGCCATATCTCTGAGTTKYGAGTGGGCGCATGTCGCCAGTATGCTGCGTTGCTGTTTACATGCATGAAAAGTGAGTTTGAAAGTGAGTCTGATTGCACCTGGGTTCGAATCTCGATGGAGTCACATGAGTGAAATTATAACTCAGGGTTATGTACGAATGACCGGTTGGGCGGATGATTACTCCTGAAGGCCGGCAGCCTTTTATTTATTCGAGAAAAAGAAAAAGAAAAAGAAAAAGAAAAAGAAAAAGAAAAAGAAGGGAAAGCCAGATTACTGCCGTCAGCAACGGGCGGTGGTAGAAGCCATAGCTAGCTCTCTTGTCACCTCTCTCTCACCTTCTGAAGAGAACCTAGGCTATGGTACTCTTGGTTCTTTCATTTTAATCTTTCGAAGAGTTTTTCAATTCCGAAGCTACACATTTGGTACACTCTCAACGTGCCTGTGTCTCGCATCTCGCCGATCTTAGTTCTTGCTGAGTCGGCTCCTGCTTTCTTACTCCAATAGTATTGTAAGAACAAATAGAGTAAATAGAAAGCATGTGGTATCGCAGCACCTGTGCTTTTTCATCTCAGTGATGACATCACGGGCAAGTCATTCCTTCTGCCTCAGCAGCAATCAATGGGGATACGGTGCACCTGGTCAGCATTGGCGTGGTGCATGTCTCTGGTCAGCATTGATGCGCTGCACCTGGCCAGCATTGAGGTTGTGCATGTCTCTGGTCAGCATTGATGCGCTGCACCTGGTCAGCATTGAGGTGGTGCATTTCTCTGGTCAGCATTGATGCGCTGCACCTGGTCAGCATTGAGGTGGTGCATATCTATGATCAGCAGTGACTGCCTCAGGGGGTCCTTAGTCTCAACAGAAGTAAGTGTATAAGGAAGGTTATTAAAATGGTTTTTTTTCTTTTTTTCTCTTTTTTAATGGAGGATTCCATTACAAAAGAGCATTGTCATGTTTGATGTAACTTCCGGCCAGAAAAAAAGAGGGAAAAACTTCGAAAAAGGGAAAACATGAAAGAAAAGAAAAAGATGGGAAAAAGAAAGAAAAAACGATGGGGAAAGAAAAAGAGAAAAAGATGGAGAAAAAAGAAAATAAAAGATGAGAAGGAACGGGAATCCCAACCTCACAGCTAGAGAGGTCAGGAAAGGAGATTGTGATCATTGTGGGGAAAAAAAAGAAGGAAAAAAAAAGGCCTAATGAGATCTCAATATGTTGTGCACGACATATTTTGCACCTGTCCTCGGCAACAAGGCCACGGCCCCACTGCCCCCGTGCGCCCAGGCACTTTTAGCCTGGTACTTTTTTTCTTTTCTTTTTTTTTAATTCCCATTGCATGAAAGAGCTGGATTTCTTTTCGCATTGGTTAATTTTTTGCGACTTGGTGGATCTGTGTTTGCATTTGCCTTTTCATGTCTGCATCTGGTCTGCCCCTGTGTCCAGATTTCCACGGGTGCTCTCAGTGGAAGGTGGTTGACTGTCGCCAGTGACATTTTTGCTCACAAACTATAAATTTGCTACGGAGGATAAACGTGCAAACGCAAAAAAACCCAAACCCATCCATCCCGGTTCCAGTATCACGAGGAGGAGGCTTCCTTTGTAGGCCTGTGGGCTGGATCGTGGTCTGTTGTTGGCGGACTGGCGATCGGACGCCTGCCGGTAGCTGGTTTTACGAAGCCGGACCTGATCGTGTTGCAGCGGGGCGTCTGATTATTTCGGGAGTCGTCGCAAAGCTAAGCGAAGATGGACGCTGAAGGCATGGTAACCGCCATTATGAGCGAAAAGTACTTCAAGAGCCCCCACGATTATGATCAGGAGCCGAGAATGGAGGCGGTCCCGGGAGTGGAGATTGTGCCATGTGGCACAATCTCTTGTGACAAAATCAGCAGGGACCCGACTGAAATGACAGTCTCGCAAGACGTCAGTGGGATCGAGTTCCAAGTACTCAATCCTGATATCATCGTAAGTTTGATAGCCTTGAAACTTCCTTCTTCCTCTTCTGCCTCTTCCTCTTCTTCCTCTTCTTCTTCTTCTTCTTCTTCTTCTTTTTCTTCTTCTTCTGCCGCCTCCTACTCTTCCTCTTCTTCCTCTTCCTCGTTGTCTTCCTTTTCTTCTTCTTCTTCTTCTTCTTCTTCTTCTTCTTCTTCGTCGTCGTCCTTGTCCTCTTCTTCTTCTTCTTCTTCTTCTTCTTCTTCTTCTTCTTCTTCTTCTTCTTCTTCGTCTCCGTCTCCGTCTTCCTCCTCTTCACCTTCGTCTTCGTCTTCGTCTTCGTCTTCGTCTTCGTCTTCGTCTTCGTCCTCTTCCAATTCCTCGTCTTCCTTTTCTTCTTCTTCTTCTTCTTCTTCCTCTTCTTCTTCTTCTTCTTCTTGCTCTTCTTCTTCTTCCTCTGTGTTCCTCAATCTGGTTCCATCTTCTTCTTCTTCTTTCTTCTTCTACTTCTTCTTCCATTGTCTTCTTTTCCTTCCTTGTCTGCAACTCTTTTTTTGTTTTGTTTTTGTTTTTGCCGCTGAAGCATCCTGAGATCATCCCTGCGTCTATGCTTTTTTTGTTTTTCCTTTGTTTTTTTTGCCGTGGCTGAAGAAGGTCCCTGAGATCGTCGCTGAGACTTATCTGAGAGCTGTCATGGCTCCATCTTCTTCTTCTTCTTTCTTCTTCTACTTCTTCCATTGTCTTCTTTTCCTTCCTTGTCTGCAACTCCTTTTTTTTTTTTTTTNGAGAGAGAGAGAGAGAGAGAGAGAGAGAGAGAGAGAGAGAGAGAGAGAGAGAGAGAGGGTAAGCGGGATCTTTCAAACATCGATTCTTGCTTGTCCGTTTGTCTAATGTTCTAGTTTTTTTGTAAGAGATGTAGTCATTACCAGCAGTACTTCTGAGGCACTTCTCTTGAGTGCCGAGAATGCTCTGTGCAAAATAAACAAATGAACTGGCCTACTCTCTTTTGGCTGGTGCCGCCAGCCATTATGCTCTGGTGCCCGAGCCCCGAAAAATGCACCGTGTCAACGTGACAATGTGTATGGCCCAAGTGCTATCGTCTTCCCCCGAACACAACGCACCCTGATTACCGTTGTACCAAGCCAGAAATATAGCTTGTATACATTCATTTTTAGGGTGCATTATGTTCGGGGGAAGACGGTAGTGGTGATGATGATGGAGGAGAACACTATAGGGAAGAAGGCGTTGAGTTGATCTTGTGTTCTTTTTCTTTCCTTCTTTTTCTCCTTCTTTTCCTTCTTTTTCTTCTTCTTTTTCTTCTTTTTCTTCTTCATTTTGTTCTCTTTTTTTGTCCTTTGCAGTCAATTCTGTGCTTTGCATCATTGATTGGGAAGGGTCATAACACAACAGTCACATATCGGTCCACGGTCGGTGGACAACTGTGGCGTTTTCACAGGGTAGGGGAGGGGGAGGGGAGGGGGCTTGTTCCAGCAGCCCAACCCATTTTGACATCACCCAAACCCAATACCCCAACCATTCAACACAACCACATATAGTACTCCACTTAGACCCTACAACACCTTGCAGCCAGACTACCCAGTCCACATCGGTACCATCCAGCGTACATATAACAATCCAGGGCAGATAATACCTCCCAGCGAACATAGTACGACCTAACGCCGACGTGTTTCTTCTTTTCGCATGTTGTAAAAGTCGCGTGTGTTTGATGAGAGACGAAACCCCCAAGAGTAAAGTCTCGTGGGGAGTTGCACAGAGAAAGCACGATAGATAAGAAACAAACCAAGAAAGTAAATCGTACACTTCATATGGCATGACCAAGACAAGGCAAACAAGCAGAAGCTAAAAGCCCTAGCAAATAGACTAAAACCGGAGGACACTAAAGCTAGAAGGCACGGGGACACACAAGCATAGGAAGTACACACAAAGCAAGGGGGCAACACAACTAGGCAGCAAAGGTAGACAAGGCACCAGGGGGCAGAAAGCAGCAAAGCAAAGGTAGTGCAGCAACACACAGTGAGATGATGGATACCGAGGCACTGAATGGCAACCAACAACAAGGCACCTAGGTTGGAGGGCACGCGGGGGGTGGGCTGTCTCTTATACACATCTAGATGTGTATAAGAGACAGATCTGAGAGCTGTCATGCAGTTGTGCTGAGGTGCAAAAGAAAAGGAAAGCAAAAGGAAAAAGAGAACATCCAAGATTCAAAATCGTTGTTTCTCTTGGCTGCAGCTGCGGCTGCGGCTGTGTGACTTGTTGAACATAATTAGCGTGAAGTTGAATTTTTTGTTCTTCCTTCTCCCTCCCTTCACCATTTGTTCAACGCAAACTTCGCAAAGTATAAAAAAATGGACTTTAGAATTGGCTCTTCTGTGTATAGCAACAGGGAGGAAAAGACTGAAGTCGTGGAAGATGAGCCACGGCTCCCTCCTCTGCTTCCTCCCTTTTTCCTGCCAATGCATGACTGGTGGGACCAAGCGGCACAAAGGAAATATTGGAGTCTTGGATATGCTTGCAAGATGAGCCTTGTCTCGTTTGTTCTTTTCGCTTTTTTCGGCAGAGCCCTGCCTCTTCCTCCCAAAAAAAGGATGGGCAAAGTTTCTCTCGAAAATGCTCTAATTCTGTCCATCATCAGTGTCAATTTTCAAAGATTTCATTACTCCATTTGACGACTCTATTTGAGGATTCTATCTTTGGTTTGATCAATCAAGAGTGTGATGTCTCATGAGTACGTGCATTGCGAATGGTCAGACTCGTCAATGTTCGGACTCGTTGCATGTGCATCGAAACCACTATCTCACCTCTTCCTCCCAATACATAGTAGCCCAACGTTGAATTTCCTGTGCTTGGAAGTAGCGCCAAGAGTTGGATTTGCATCCCTGTCCAGAGCACAGGGAAAGGAAAGATTGCCGTGTCCTTTTTTTTGAAGTGAGTCCTGCCTGTCCTCCCTTTGGCGTTGGAAGCCTGCGCCGAGCATATCCCTGGAACCAGCGGGCGTTGGAAGCCTCTGGAAACTGTGCTGGAGCCTTGGCATTGTCTGTGGTCTGTGGCCGTGGTCGTCTCCTGATAAATCTTTGACTGTCGGACGTCTGTACCTGTTTTGGTCCTGACGTCTGTTTTTCCTAGGGCCTACTTTAGGGTTTATGGTTGAGGGTTTAGTGTTTAGGGTTTAGGGTTTAGGGTTTGCACTTCTAGGGGTCTGGCCACCTTCAGGGAGGGGTTTAGGGTTGAGGGTTTAGACTTCTGGGGGCCCTGGGGCACCTTCATTTGGGCCTTTTTTTTACCCCAGGCCTACCGACCAGTTGAACTTCTAGAGACTTGTTAGAGACTCTGCGCCTGAGTGTTAGACTTAATTTCCCTAGGGCCTACTTCGACTTCTATGAGAGCAACTTTCAACGGCCCTTGGCACCGTCAGTGGAGGGTTTTTTAGGCTTTAGGGTTTAGGGTTTAGGGCTAAGGGTGGAGGTTTTTTTAGGCTTTAGGGTTTAGGGTTTAGGGCTAAGGGTTAGTAGGACTTAGGGTTTAGGGTCTAGGCTTCTAGAGACTTTCTAGAGACTTCTAGGGGCCCTTGAGACTTCTGGGGGCCCTTGTCACCTTCATTTCAGCGATGCCCCGGGGCCTACCTGTGATCTGAACTTCCAGAGAGTTGTTAGAGACTGTGCACCTGACTCTTAAACTTGACTTTTTCTTGGGGCCTGCTTTGACTTCTCGGGGCTGTTTGCACCTTTAGTGGAGCGTTGATCCCAGGCCGACTCACCTGTATGGACTTCTGGAGACTTTCTAGAGACTTTCTAAAGACTTTCTAGAGACTTCTAGGGGCCCTAGGCACCTTCATTTGACCCTTGACCCCTTAGATTTTCCTACAAGTTTATATTTGGTTAGCTTGGGCTACTTGACTTCTTGGGATTGTGTGGCAATGACGACCCTAGGCCTACCAACCTATGGATGCTTATTTGGTTGGCCCTTGAGCCCAGGCCTACCAACCTATGGATGCTTGTTAGGCCCTTGACCCCAGGCCTACCAACCTATATGGAGTTCTAGAGAGTTTCTAGAGAATTCTAGGGGTCTTAGGCACCTTCATTTGGCCTTTTGTAATGACCTGTCAAACACGGACTGAGACACACAGCTGATTTCTGAGTTTTGCTCATGGAATGTATGCCTTACTGAGTTCCCTGCTTGTTGCTGAGTTTTCTGAGTCTGTGTGGGTGCATGCTTGCTGGTCTGCATGCCTGTCTGAGTGCTTGTCGGCTTGAGTGCGTGTGTGACCCGCAAGGGCACTTGGTTGTTGATCGGAAGGCCCGAATGGCCGGTAATTACTTGTAGCCCTGACATTGAGGGTTGCAGCGGCGAAAACACTCAAGTGGCGAGGAAAGAGGCCCACGGCACTTAGAGCAGTGGAAAACACTCAAGTAGCAGGTAGGCCGGTACCACACCAAGTAGAGGTAGATGTGCCGGGTGCTGGAGGCCGAGCAGAAGAAGACAAAAGTTGGCATTTTTAGAGGCCCAGTAGTTGTAGGGTAGGTCTAGGCGGGTACCAGTCCAACCAGTCTGAGTCTAGGGCCTGTACGGCCAATATCAGAGTCTGCAATGATGTTTCCCTCCGAAAGGGAGGAGATACTGGTTGCTTGGAGGCCATGTGGCCTAGGAAGTGCGGCCTAGGAAGTCACGCGCCAAGAGGCAAGCAGGCCGCTAAATCTCTAGGAGGAGCAAAGAGCTCCTCCTCATTGTCGGTGTGCAAGTTTTGCGACACACTGGCTGGAGCGATGGCTGGAGCAGCACTAGCATCAAGAGCAGTGCTGCTGGGGAGGAGCAAGGACAGGAGGAGGAAGAAGACCAGGACTAGGAGGGAGGAGCGCCAGAGGTACTTACCTGGCTATGGCCGATACCATCTTCATCACCTTGGTGGGCGCTGCAGCAGGAAGGCCCCGGTTGGGGTAGAACTGCACCAAGAAGCTTCGAGGCAGAGTCAGGCATGGCAGCCTGAGCTAGAGCAGCCATAGCTGCTTTGTGTT